AATTCCCAGTACCAAAAATAGGTAGGTAGGTACATAGATAAGATTCTTTTCTTTTTAACAAATCCTGACTTACATCAGCAATAACAACCACCATGTGATTCTTAGCTCAGAGGCCAAACCATGATTAGTTTAATTCAGTCATGGTAACTCTGTTTCCCTTAAAGACATTAGTTTAGAAATGGGCATAAGACACTTCTGGCTAAGGTGCATGAAGGTACATCACTGGTTGGGAGTGATGGTGGCTGGCGAAGTAGGTAGACTACTTTCTGGAAAGGTTTTCTTCTCTTCCCTACTTTAACAACTGGCATAAGAAATGTTTTGAACAACCAATTAAAAAAAAAAGAAATTAAAAAAAAAAGAAAGGTAGTATCCTTACTTTTCTACCTTTGTGCATTGTTGTTAGAGGTTGTGTATGATGTTTGTTATTGCTGCAGTCACCCTAATACCATGAGGAAAAATGCCCAAGATAACAGAAAGACCTTGTGTAGTTAAGTTTCTGAATTAACCATTTCTCAAACTTCTGGGTATGAAGTTGTCATCCTCCTCCTCCTCCTCCTCCTCCCCACCCCCCAAGCCAGGGAGGGAGGCAGGGGCAAACCTCCTTGTGTTAATGCAGGAATGTCTGGAAGCAAGTGGATTATGAGAACTATAACCTTACCAGTCCATCCTTCTTTAAATAGGCTGGTGGGGTGTGGCTGGAATAGGTGGGTAAGTGGGGACATGCCTTGGAAAGGTGCCCAGCAGTCCTTATCTCTGTGCTTCCTCTTGGCCATGAGGGGAGGAGCTTCCCTCTCCTATGCCCTTCCCCCATCGTGTTCTACCTCAGCATGGGCCTACTGCAATGGAGTCAGCCATCCATGGACTGAGACGTCTGATTCAGTGAACCAAAATAAATTTTTCCTCCACTAAGTTGTTCCTGTCAAGTACTCTGGGCACAGCAATGAAAAACTGACAAAACACTCCCTGCCTCATGATTTCTTGAAAAGGAAGAAAATACATGTTTATATTTTCAAGTTATTTATCTGTCACTTGCAGCCAAATGTATTGAGAGAACCATGTATTACCTTTATAACCAGGAAAGGAAAAAAAAACCAAAGTTCCATCATGTAACACTGAGTATAATGGTTAAACCACACTACCACAATTCAACACTCTGCAAGTTAATTGATGCATGCTACTTGAAAAATGCCAACATCAAGTCCAAATATTCCAAACACTTAGAAAAATAACTTCCCTTGTTGAAACCTGTCAAATGTCTCTTTAAACCAGAGATAAACTAATGTACCTTAGTTCTTGCCCTGTGCCCTTAAGTAAGCTTTATGACTTATAACTTTCAGCTGCTGAACAAACCTGCAATGTCAAAATACTTAATGGAATTCTTCATAAAGATCTTTAATAATCCTTAAATCTCTGTGAGGTAAAAAACATATAAACAAAGATTCTCTTTATAAAAATTGTTTCTGAATTGATTTTGATATTTAAAATACATAAAATTTTATTTATATTTTTATATATTCCATGTTTTTAAAAGATATTTAATATATAAAATAATTTGAGGTAAAAAGTCTGATTTTAAAAAATTTATGTTCACTGAAAGTTAGAGATACAAAGAAAACAATTAAAAACTTGAATTCTGCTACCTACAACTAACAATTTAATGCACTTTTCATTTCAAGTTTATATGTAGTTTTGAATTTTTTTTTTTTTTTAGTACTGGGGACGGAACCCAGGGGTGCTCTACCATTGAGCTACATCCTTACCCTGTTATTTTCTAACAGGGACTCACTAAATTGCCCTCGCTGACCTCAAACCGGCAACCTTCCTGCCTTAGCCTCCTGAGTTACTGGGATTACTGGAGGTACCTAATCTTTTCTTAAACTAATAGTTAATCCCCAAATTTTCCCCATATTGGTCAACAGTCTTTTAGAACATGACTTTAGGGGCTGGATTTGTAGCTCAGTGGTAGAGTGCTTGCTTAGCACATGTGAGGCATTGGGTTCGATCCTCAGCACCACATAAAAATAAAYAAATAAAGGTATTGTGTCCATCTACAACTAAAAAAGAAATTTAAAAAGAACATTTTTTAAAAAATCTTTATTTTTATTTGTTTATTTTTATGTGGTGCTGGGGACCCAGCCCAGGGCCTCATGCATGAGTGGCAAGCACTCTACCACTGAGCTACAACCCCAGCCCAAGAACACGTTTTTAATGACAAGCAAAATACTATTGAATAATTACATGGTTCCCATTTCACTAAGAGTGCTACAATGAGAATACTTAGGCACTATTTGTACATAACCACAATTCCCTTATGATAAATTCCTAAAAGTAGACTATTGGATAGAAGAACAAACTACAAGGGCCTCCAGAATTAGATTCTTACACTAGCTTGCCTATAACCCATCAGTTTTTTATATAGACATAGTTATATATCTATATCTATATTCACATACATATGGTTCATCCTTTCACAATCACTAAGAACAGCATAAAAATATTAAAAATACAGATTTCATCATCTTGGCCTTGGGATATAAAAGACATTAAGAAGAGTTCATTTAAGTATGCTAAATTTACTCACAATAACATCTGCAAACTGTTCAAAGAAAGCATACTAAATTACCCAAGTAGCTAATCCGGGGGTATTTTCCTAGTACTCAGTATTGTCAGCTGACTCTCAAATCTGGACTCTCTTTATAATAACCTATTGTTCTCCAAGAGTCAAGGTAAACAAAATTAATGAGCATCAAATTAATAAAAACACTTGGAGTGAAGCCTTGCCCTTCATGATTTGGCTCACCATCTTTAACACATTTTAAAGTAGAAATATTTTCACTCAAAAAAGTTGTCTGAGAAGAAACCTAATTATCTTGGTTCTGGCCTTTAATGACTGAATGGCCTTGGTTGGCATTTTAAGCTTTGGTTTTCTTCACATCTGAACACATAAAATGATACACAGAGATTCATGTTTTCACTTTCACATTTATATAATTATTTATATAATTATTTAAGCTTGTATAAATGAGAGCAATGTATAAAAATGTTCTAGCTCGATGAATATAGAATGAGTGGCTGGAAAGAGAATATACTCTGTATGTCAGAATAATAAAGACATCTGCCTGTAACAAATTTCTATTTGTATGTTTGCCTTAAAGGAAGTGGGCTGCCACATACAGAATATAACTAAACATGTCTACTGGCCTAATAAATTCTTTGTTTTTTTTTTTTAACTCTAATCCAAATCAATTTTGGGCTGGGGATATAGCTCAGTTGGAAGAGTGCTTGCCTCGAATGCACAAGGCCCTGGGTTCAATCCCCAGCACTACAAACAAAAAAATTAATTTTACTTATTGACTAGGATTATCTGATAAACCATATAATAATCCAAGAACAAAAATCAAATGCAGCTTTGGAACAACTTGTCACCACACATGCATTTACATGGAATATCATGGAATTATAAAGCAAGATCTACTTTTTGACCTTCAAATAAATTAGTAAGAATTTACTAATATGCATATTTTTACAACTAAAATTTCTAATGTATAAACATTGGTATTTGCACAGACTGTAGCAAAGAAAATGCTGAACACAGTGTTTTTACAGTTAGCATTTGCTACTTCAAAAACTTACTGAGAAATGCTGAAGTAATTCATCTTTTTCCTCCTCAATGAATCCCCTAACTGTTAGTGCTTTGGGGCGGTGGTCCACCACCATGTGATTTAGTGAGCCCCTCCCTCTTCCTCCACGGCCTCGGCCTCTTCCTCGACTTTGAGAGGACATGGTCTTTCCTCGACCCACAGGTAAAATACCTAATCGTGCAGCCTGAATAACAACAACAAAAAGTAGAATGTAACATACATTGTTAGACTAAACCTTCGAAAATAGAGAAAAAGCTAAATTTTGAGATGTTACATGTGGTGGGTTAAATCTCACCTCAACCTGTAACTGATTGAGTTTTTTCCGTAATTCTGTTGTGTCTTCTCCAGAGGATAATCTCTTATGAAGGTCTAGTTCAGTATCTAGTAACTCTTTCTGGGCCTTTGGAAAAATTAAGAGTAAAAAGGTATTTTTTAAGGTAACTTCCAAGATTTTATCAGAAAATTACAGTTTCACAATGACACATCTACCTTTTGAGAAAATAAGTGAGAGGATGCCAAGAAACATGTGCTTTAAGGAAAGTAACTTTACAAACAAAAACTACAAAAGTATAGTGAGCATAACGACAATAAATAGTAGTATAACAGCATAAGATGACCTATAATTTTGATCCTGGAAATAGTCACCTAAGAAGAGGGAGCTGAAATAATTTTCACATAATAATGCATCATAAATGAAACATAATGGGGCAAAGTAAATTAAATGATAAGCATTTATTAACTATACAAATGTAATAGTTATAGAATTCCTTTCTAACAGGAACTCCGTAACTGTTGCCATTCTTTCTTGTATGAGATACAAAAAAAGTCACGCCTTTAGGCGGCATGAGTGTGAGAGAGATTTACCCTTCCATGCACTTTTCTTTTTTTTTTTTTTTAATTAATTGCTGTAACTTTATTTTATTTTCATCCTTTAGAATAAAATGACTTTCTACAAAAAATAAATAGTTGCTAATGTGTTTTGTTGTTGTTGTTCTAATCAGTTATACATGATAAGCAGTTTTATATATTTTTTTTTCTTTTTTGGGGGGGTGGTAGTGGGGTACTGGGGATTTCAGCCAGGGATGCTTTTACTGAGTCACATCCTGAGCCCTTTTTATTTTATCTATCTGTTATTTATTTGGTAATAAGGATTGCACCCAGGGGTGCTTAACCACTGAGTCACATCCCATCCCTTTTATTATGTGTTTTATTCTGAGACAGGGTCTTGCTAAGTTGCTGAGGTTCTCACTAAGTTGCTGCGGCTGGCCTTGAACTTGTGAGCTTGTGATCCTCCTGTCTCAGCCTTCTGTGTTGGTGGGATTACAGGCATGTGCCACCATGCCCAGCCCTCCCATGCACTCATTGATTTTAAAACGTACATATGGTTGGGCATGATGGTTTGCACCTATAGTCCCAACTAAATGGAGATTGACATTGGGAGGATCACTTGATCACAAGAGTTTTAAACTAACTACTACACGTCTAAAAAAAGAGTAAAGTATATTATATTCTTTCTAGAATTGGGGAATATCTCAATAAAAACATATTTTTTATTTTATAAAAGCAATCTTAACTATCACTTTATATTCCTACACTGATAGAGAACCATCATTTCAAATATATACAATAATTACATTTTATGTATCTGACAAATTTATTCCCAGCTCTCAAAGGGTGGAAGTGATCTAAAATCCCACTAATGAAGTTGTGGTATAAGGGAACCTCTGCATAAAGCAAGTACTCTCCCAAGATATAGAAACAGATATGAAATAATAAAACTAGACTGAAAGAGATCTAGAACTTATTATTCTAATAGCATACCACATTTTTATTCCTATTAAGACCAATGATATCTTTTAACTATCAAAAGGGAATGTCTTTGGGGATGGAGATGTGGCTCAACAGTAGAGCACTAGACTAGCATGCGCAAGGCCCTGGGTTCAACCCTCGGCACCACATGAAAACAAAATAAAGATATTACTAAAACAGATATTTTAAAACAGGGTGGGGGGTGGAAATGGCTTTATAGAAAATAGTTCTTTCCAAGCCATTACTTGAGCAGTTTCCTTTTCATCAGCACAGAAGACAAAAAATTCAATTAAAAAATACACACCTTTGGAGCTGGGAGTGTAGCTCAGTGGTAAAGCCCATGCTTGGCATATACAAGGCCCCAGGTTTAATCCCTAGCACCAAATGAAAACGAAACACACTTTTGTTCCAAAAGGGAATTATCACCTCTTCTCAAAAAGAGGATAAACAGCATCTATAGAACCACTGAAAAAAATACACTATCACTGTTTACCTGTCTCTATTAGGTTAGTAGCTATCTAAGGGTTTCACTGCACTTTCAAAGTACCAAGAATGTGGTAGATGTAAATAGATACCTCTGTTTTTGTCTTTACTTTCGATGGTGTGGAGACTGCAGAAGAAGTTTTTAATTCATCTTTTAATTGTGAGATCTTTTCTCCAAGCTCTTTCAAAGTCTTCATTATATTTGCTCTTTCTTCTGGTTTCATGTTTTTGTTTTTTTCAAGCTTAGATATCAGCATCTACAAAATAAGCAGAAAAAGTAAAACTATACTTTGTAAATTGCAATCTTAAAAACTCAGAAGTCTGGATATCTTTGTAAATCAACTCTAAACACCAATTCCAACAAGCAAATAATGAGTTCTTATCTTACCTTCTGACATTCTATTTGTTTTTCCAACATTTCTTGCCTCTTTTTCCTCATATCTTGTTGTAGCTTCATTGCTTCCTATATAAAGAGGTAAAAAAAAAAAATTAGTAACAGATAACAAAATTTACCAATGATATATAATACTACTATACTCTCATTTCTTCTGAATTATTCCTAAGATTTTCTTTCTAGTTAAAAAAGAAAAGCTAAAACCAGGGACAAAATCGTGGAGTATATTTTCTCCCAAAACTTTTAGCATAAGAGAATTCACATTTTAAAATTTATAACTGCACTTTAAAAAAAATATTTAAAATACTGGATACTGACTAGCTCTATGAGATTTACTGATTAAAATGATATGAATATCTTTAAAGAAAACAAGAGCTATTTTCAACTTACCAATGTAATAAGCCAAATCCTTAATTTTGAAGTTCCAAATTTAATAAAAATGTGAGATGCAGTTATAGGTTAGAAATCACCAAAATCTATGGATTTTTGCCAGAAAAATTTTGCTTTCACCTCTGAGAAGTGAATCTTTCTACTAAGACRGTACATACAAAAATCTACTTTATTTGGAAAAAACCTCTATGACTAGCTTAAATCTAAAATGACAATGAAACTCAGAACTGAATAATATGAATGACTACATATGTTCATAACTATTTGAATACTAAATGAATGCTATAGTTTATGTGAAATATTATCCAATAACAAAACCAAAAAGGATACAGTAAAGCAAATGCTGAAATAAAAATGTTTGCTTTTCACTAGGTGCTTTGGGCTAGGAGTGTTGCTCTGTGGTAGAACACTTGCTTAGCATGTATCAGGCCCTAGATTATATCTCCAGCACTATAGAAAAAATAAAGAAAGTATGTGCTTTTTTCCACTGGAAAGAAAAAGAAACATGACAGAACAAGGGGCAGTGGTGCAAGCCTGTAATCCCAGTAACTCGTGAGGCTGAGGCAGGAGAATCCCAAATTCAAGGCTAAACTCAGCAACTTGGCAAAAACCTGTCTCAAATTAAAAAATAAAAAGGGCTGGGGATGTGGATTAGTGGTAAAGTGTCCTTGAATTCAATACCTCGTCCCCCGCCCCCCCCCCAAAAAAAATTATATAAAATTTAAGGCTGAGGGTATAGCTCAGTGGTAGAGCATGTGCTTATTATTAACATACGTGAAGTCTTAGGTTCAATCTCCGTGCCAAAAAAATAAAAAAGTTATTCCTTTTGTTTGATATGGCCACTGAAAGGCACTGTGAAACATTTTTTTGTTTTGTTTTGTTCATTCTTTTTCAGTTTTTGACTCCACATTAAATGGAGAAGATGTATGTTCTATAACATGAACTGGTTTAAAAGTATTAACTTCTCAAAATTCAATAGGTCATTTCCTCTGCAAGACAAGAACTGAGATTGGTACCTGTTTTTTTTTAAGAACTTCTTGAACATCATGAGACTTAGACCCTGAACAAAGTTTTGAAGGTGTCTTTAAGTTTGAGGAGCTGTAAATCGTTTTTGGATGGCTTGGACTTGGAAATATCTAAAAAAAACCAAAAACAAAACAAAACAACACAAGAATATGATTAAATTAAACCTTACTGGTGCTTAAAAAAAAGACTACATATAGTTTTAAATTTCTTACGGGTTAATTTTTTTTTAATATTTTAAATGCTTCATTTATAAAAGCTGGTTCTTCACACATGACTCCAATTGTCATTCAACATTATTAATTTTTAGCTACAACATTTTGTTTCTAAATGCAATCCCTTATTTTTCAAGATTTAACTGTAAGAAAAAGAAGAGCAGCTCCCAACACCTAGAACCTGGCCTGCCTCTCAGATCTTAGAGCCCTTCTGTTAAACACAATTTCACAGAATAGTAATAGCAGACAAAGCCACTGTTCTGACTGGGATGSATCAAGACAAAAATCAAGATCACTGCACAATCAGGACTGAATACAGATTAAAAACATTAATATTAGCCAAATCATAAAAATGACTATCCTTCTAATCATGCTCATAAAAATGATAGATACTTCTTTACCAACTATAGCTTTAGGTTCTAGTCTACCCTCTTTTCTTTCTTTTTTGTGATACTGGGGATTAAACTCAGGGCCTCACACATTAGGCAAGTGCTCTACTACTGAGTTACATCCCCAATCCTAACCTTCCCTTTCTTGGTATAATGTATTGAGATATCTAATCCTACTTTTTTTAAATCCTGCACCAAAATCACCTGAATACAGCCCAAATCTTAAAATAAATCCTTTTAAAATCCATGGTTTCATTGTGTGTAACTTCCCCCACAGAATAATGAATTCAGCTTGTTTAAACTATGGTTCTGTTCCTGGCTGTCTTTGTCTATAATATAATAAAGTTATTTTCCATAAGCAAAATGCCAAATAAGGACCCATATTTTCCAATAACTGGAAATCCTTCTAGAATCAAGTTATTTCAAATTATAATCTTAATATCAATTTAATAAAATAATATGTGCTTATAATAAAATATAAGTACTTGGCTCACAAATTTAACTTTGCAAATAACCAGGAGGTGTCCATCTTCACTTTGCTGGTTTTGGTATTAGATTCCTTTCCTTTTCTAAATAGATGACTCTACAAGTACTCTCCCTTCTTTAAGGCACATACAGCTACAAAGGATACTACATTCTATATGGTTCAAGTCTTCCCTTTCATACTGCTCTTTTCTTTCCTTCTTTCTGCTTTTTAATTAATTTTGAATATATAAGAGATGCAGAAAATAAAAGGAATTCATAGAAATTGTAACAATAAAATATCCAAATATAAAACTTCTCTCAATCTCCATAAGATTTAACTATCCTCAATATACCGGAAAATAATAAAACTATACAGGAAATTACCTATACAGGAAAGCCCCTTAGATACCACAGAGCTAACATTCACATTATTATTTTATTATTCAAATTAAAATGTCAACACCTACAATTTACTGAGTACTTATTATATGCTAATAACTTCTTGTTTACACTTTATCAACAACACAATTTTTAATTTCCATAGAAACTCAGCTTATTGAAAAAAAAGTTAATGTTTATGAACTGTCCATCATAGCCAGTAAAACAAATCAACTAAGGATTTGTCTTTAAAAAAATCATTTTTTTTCTTTGTTTGTTTTTCATAATGGAATTTCGGACATTCAAGAGTAGAATTGTAGAAAACACTTGATATATCCATCCCCAAGCAGCAATAAATAATGATCAGTACATAAAACAATTTTATTTCATTTATATCCCCAACTACTACATTCTTACCCAAAAACCTTACCACATCATCTATAATATTTCAGTTATAGTTCTAAAAGAACTTCTTTCTTCTTCTTACATAACCAACCACAATACCATCATCACACTTAAAAGATAGCACTAATTCTTAAATATCCACATCTCCAGTGTGTATTATAATTTTCTAAACATTTTTGTCTCATAAACAGATGGACTAAAATCCAGATAGTACAATTCAGTATATTTCCTTTAATCTATATTTTCCCTCGCCATCTCTTTCTAGTTTTGCAAATTACTTGTTCAAGAAAACAAGGCACTTATCCTGTAGAAGAATCCTGTAGGGATTCTGTAGAACGCTTTAATAAGTTCCTCTGTTCCCCAATTTTCTTTTAAATCAGCAGATAGGATCTAGAGCTTTGATGATATTTTTTCTCTTTGACAATGTTCTGGTAATCTTCAACAATTTAGGGTTTAACAAAATATTCTATATCATCCATAACACCAGACTTTAGACAGCCATTTCTTCAAGGACCCACGTTTCTTTGAATGTTAAAGGTGTTTAGACCTTTTCAGTGAAGAGAACTAAAAAACATTTTGGGGTTAAAGATAAAATATAACTATATATATCTATACTGATACTCTCAACTTAACAGCAGGCCTACAGTGTTGTTACTTAATCTCTCCTCCTTTCAACCATTCTGAAAAATCTCAGTTGTCAATGACATCAGCTTATAATTCCTCATTTGATTTATCCTACAATGCCCACAAGTTAGTTTCATAACACAGGCTGAGCATTCCTAATCTGAAAATCCAAAATCTTAAATGCTCCAAAAATCTGAAACATTTTTAAGCATCAAGATGATACCACAAGTGGAAATTCTAAAGTGTAAACAAGAAGTTATTAGCACATAATAAGTACTCAGTGAAATCATTTCACACACAAAATTATTAAAAATATTGTATAAGACTAACTTTTAAACTACAATAATAAGGTATATATGAAACATAAATGAATTTCATATTTAGACCTGGGTAGATTGCATTAAATATACGTAAAGATTCCAAAATGTGGAGAAATTCAAAATTGAAAATTTGCCCCAAGCATTTTAGACAAATACTCAACCTGTGCCAACATTGCCAACACCATGATTTTTAAAAAGAGCTTTTTAAAATTGCTTTTGGGGCCTTTTAAAATGCATGTACAACATTTTAAAGGAATTAGACTCTACTGATAGGCACTTGGGTTTTTTGCGATTACAAGGAACTTTCAATTAGTAGTAGCCTTGCACATATACCTTTTCATATTTTGGCTACGATATCTTTGGCAGAGATTCTGAGAAGGAAGATTACTAGTTTAAAACAAATGTACACAAAATTTTGCCAGATACTGCCAGATTTCCTTTTATGAGAGTTGTATCGTTTAGCATTTCTATTAGCATCTAAACTTCAGCTATAATTGGAATTATCCTGGCTATGAAGTGATTAATAAACGGTCTAATTTTATCTTTTCCATATGGCTATTCAGTTATCCCAGTATCATTTATCAAAAAGTCCTTTCTTTTCTTCACTAATATGGGATATTTTGTTATAATATAATAAATTCCAAGTTGCAAATGAGTCAACTTCTAGATTTTCTATTATTTTCTATTATCTGTCTATTCATATGCCAATACTAAATTGTTTTAGCTAAAGAGACTTTTTATAGTATTTTTTGGGATAGCCCTGTGTTCTTTTTCAGGGTTTCCCTGGCTCTCTTTCTAATAATCTCCATGCTAGATATTTACTGTATAGATATATTCCTAAAAGCAAAAGAAGCTACAAGACATTTCAAACTAAAATTTCTAGGAGTAGGGATATATAGTTCAGTGGTAGAATACTTGCCCAGCATACATATAGAACCGAGTTCAATCCCCTTTTTTAAATTATGACGAATTCCCTTCACTATGTTTTTATTAATGAGGGAAAATGAGTAAAGAAATAGACTGTGAAAGATATCTACCTATTAGTAAGTACCTAAAATTCTCAGATTCCTACTTAACTTTTTTTTGGGCCATGCAGGGAATCAAACCCCTAGCATTCCACCATGAGCAACATTCCCAGCTCTCCCCTACTTAGCTTTAAATTGAAAAAAAATTAATTAGCAAATTTCTGTAATTATGGAAATTAGGAAGATATACCTTCCACATTAAGGTCAGCTGTCACACTTGCCTTGATTAAGGAAGTAAGATGTTACAAATCTAGATGCTAATCAATTTGTTTAGACATTTGGGATTTTTACAATTATAAGGAACTTACAATTAATAGTAGCTTCTCTTTGTGTCACTGAATGATTCTAAATATATATGAAATTCACAGAAATATATATGAAATCCACACACCTGGCAATCCTCCCCAGCACCACCGGACTGATTCAACAAGTGTGACGCATCACTCTGGTTACCACTTGCATGTCCAAGACGATGTTTAACAGGAACTTTGTTAAGAACATATGCACCTGATGTCTGTGGTTTGCCCATCATCTGCATACACAAAACAAATACACATGTGGAAAACATTTAAAAACACACCTAAGAATGACATACATGTAAGATAGTGGTAACCTGGGAAAGAAGATAAGGAAATGAAAATGGGACAGTGTGTCAATTATCCATAGTTTTTATTTTTAGAGATGGGTGAATATACAAATGATTATGTTACATTATGTACACATTTTGGATATCTAAAATGTTACTACAGCTGAATATGTAGCTGAGTTGTAAAGCATGAACTTAGCATTCATGAGGCCTCTGCCTTCAGTGCCAGCACAAAAAATAAATTAATTAAATATGTAACAATAAACTGCATACAGATATATTTTTTTAAATGCTACAATTTTTATTGTTCTAATATATAATGCTTTGAGAAAGATGGCTTAAAATCACAGTAGCTTAGTATGAGTCATGATGTAAAATGATGGTCTCAAAAGGCAATCATGAGGGCTGGGGATGTGGCTCAGCGGTAGCGCGCTCGCCTGGCATGCGTGCGGCCCG